GCTTTTAGTTAGTTAAAGTGACCATATGAGGAAAAAACTTGACTTGAAAACTTGATTTCCTTGACTTTTGACATAGAAGTTCAATATAGTACATAGAACACTGTTAAACTTTCAATCCCAAGTCTGTTCATGGAAACTAAGCTGTGTTTTTTTGTAAATGGACCTCAAAGAAAAAATAATTATATGGAAAAAAGTATGGTATGGGCCCTTTAAGTGTATGTTTGTGTTTGTGATGTAACAAAATCCAGCTCAAAATCCAACAAAATCCAGCTCATTTGCATATTCAGCCTACAGCAGATTAGCCCTCGGCCTGTCATTATGAAGCTATAAGGTGTGTTAAAGCCATGGTTTTTAAAGCCAATCAAATACAGACCAGCCAATCAGAACAAAGCCCATTTACATACGTCAGTCTTAAAGGTGCAGTCTGTTTAATTCTAAGGGATAAAAAGGTCGGGAAAATAGTCATGTATGAAAGAATTATAACTGTTTTTTGTACATAAAACCACAAAAATAATGTTATAAGTGGATCTCAAGGGGAAAAAAGTAAGTACAAGCAAAATGTAGCATATGGGCCCTTTAACCCCTTCAAGTCTTATTACATACTAAGGTTTATTATCCAGTAACTACAGGGACTTCAATGCAAACTAGCTGAGCTGTTCTTAGGTTATAGAAGTGAGTGATAAAACTTGGGCCTGCTGGTGATTCTTGAGTAGTTAAGGGGTTAAAATTCACTTTTATGGGGGAATTAAACTACCATCGCTCTTAAACAGTGAGCCATGACCTTGGCACGGTAATAAAGAGATTCAGAGTGATCAAATCTATGAATTTATGAATTTACGACCACACTCTGACAGCGTGCTTTGAATAGAACACAGCCAACAGCCTATTAATGCTGGTATGTGTAGGGAAGGAGACCCAGCTGTCCAGCGACTGGCGATGAACCAAAAGGTCATGTCCTTCCGCAGAACATTTAACTCGAAGGTGCTCCAGGGTAACTGTTCCTGCAGTCGTCCAAGTCTGCTTAGCTAAACGTGTGACTTTGAGGTGCTAACTAGGCTGTTAGCATTCAAATGTACACTGTATAACAATGATGATGTAACAAGATAGATGACGTGTATTTAAAGGGCCCGTATCGCTGCTGTCGGAAGAAAACCTTGTATCTCCAAAATGGTAACTTTACAGGAGAAGGAAAAAACCTACTTTACTTTTAATGTAAGTCAATGGAACCAGACGTTTTTCCAAGTCATTGTGGGTCATTTATTTTAGTCCATTCATCATGAAATTTACACACAATGTAAAGGGCAACAGGAATTTTCAAATTATGTCAAAAACTGAAAAACAACAAAAATGGAGATTTGAGGTTTTCTTATAAGAATACTTCTTATAACTTCAGGATAACACTGACGTATCCACCTATTCAGCCTATAGCGGTTTAGTCTCGCCCATTCAAGCTGAAGTTATAAAGAATGTTTCAGCCCAGACTGCTTTTTGAATCAGCCACAGTACATGGTGGCCAATCAGAACAGAGCTCATTTACATATTGCAGTCTTAAAGGTACAGTCTGATAACTCTGAGGGCCAATGAGAAGTTGAAAAACGGTCATATAGAAATTAATTATGATGTTTTTGGTACATAATAAACACAGAAATGTTGTAAATGGACCTCGATGAAAAAAAAAATAAGTATATGAAAAAAAAAGTATGGTATGGGCCCTTTAAGTGTAGTAATAAAGTACTTAAGTATATTCCACTCATTGGGATTATTGTACCATTTTCTCCTGTTTTATGCTAAAACCAGGAGAAATAAACACACTCCTGACTTCTTCCTGAAACACTTCTTACAACTACAGCGTAAGTGGGTGGAGCTAAACTGCTGTATGATGAATAGACAGTGTTGTGACATCACAAAAACAAATTTAAACCATGCTGCTTTTGCAGCTTCCACGTGTGGACTGGAAAGTGAACGGTATGTGTTGAAACTTTAACAGTGCTTACTTATTTCAATAAAATTAAGTACATTTATTATGAGGTTTTTAATAATACAGGCCCTTTAATGGTGCAAGACGCTGCTCATGAATGAACTCTGCTCAGTAGCAGAGCCACTAAAGTGTTGCGAAGTGCGACAGAACGGCCGGCTCTGTAATCCCCTTTTGTTCTGTGAGGTCTTTATCCCTCTCAGGGGGCTGGGCGGTGTGCGAGCTGAATTTAGGTTGGTCGTTCATCCGGTAGGCTCACTCACTTCAAAGCGCATTTGTCTACTCAGGGTTTTTGTTATTCCACCCGTATTGCGACAAACCACGCCCCCTGTGCTAGGATTGGCTGGTCCACAGGATGAAAGCAAGTGACATACATCAAAATAGTAAAATATTAAAACCATTCAGCTTTACTTAAACTGGTGCTTAACTGTGTTTCTCCACTGTGAGTGATGCACCTGCTTAAAGGGGAACATCACCAGTTTTTCAAAATTTCTGTATAATCGACAGGTTGAAATGTAAACCTTTCTGTGTAACTGTTAATTCACTGGACAGAGCTGTTCAGCCCTCCTGCAATATGTTATTCCAATGGAAATACAGCTAGTTCCAGTAAAGCTATCAAAGGGCAATTCCACTGATCTTTCTAAATTTCCACATGATGCAGTGGTTAAGTTGTAAACAGAGTCGTTCAGAGTGGTTTGGTGTGAAACGCTCCGTTCTAGAGAAACTTACCGAGTCAGAATTGTTCACAGTGGTGGTGATAGGAACCAGATGTCCACCTCTAAAAGGTCCCTCACAGACATGAATACATTGCCTGGTGTCTGAGATATTGCTCTAAGGTACTTTTAATAAGCTTTTGGCCTAAAATATATATGTTAAATATGATTTTATGCTGGAGAAGTTCATGCAGGGTGTTGTTAGGCAATGTGGTCTCCAAAGAAAATATATTTTTTTCAGATTTTCCACTATTTTATCATCATCAACATACCATACAAAACCTCAGAAGACTCGTGTAGGTTCACTGGTGGTTTTGGATAATAAATAAAATTGCTATATTTGTGTTGTAGTCATAGCGACCCCTAGTTCCTGTCATTAAAATGGTAAATTAAATATGCTATTTATGCTATACTCTTAGCAAAAGGGTCTTATATAGTACCAATAAGGGTTCTTTGGCTTGCAACAATAGCAGATCTATATAGAACCTTTTTAAGGTTACCATATACCTTTATATAAGATCCATATACAAGTTTCCCATCATAGAGAAAACAATAAAGCATGTAAAGCACTATGCATTTAAATGGTTCTTTAAGTTTTCACCATGGTGTTTAAAGAACTTTTTTAGATCATACTTACCATTCATGTTTTTGATGACTTCAGTTTTAGACACAAATTTGATTTGATATTAAAAATACAGCCAAACCTACAACGATGACACCACATCAAACAAAACATGTTCATATTCATCACACACAGCCTACATCTAAACAATATTCACTGTTTATGGCTGACAAAAGCACTGAACTCTCTGAAAACACACACACTCGGAAATAAAGGTACTAAACTGTTACTGGGTCAGTTCCCCTCTTGTCACTGGGGTGGGACCCTCAAGGGTCCATCTCAGTACCTTTAGTCAGGGAACATAACTGAACCATAATCCACTGAAATGATATGTTCTAAGCTGTACTGACTCCACACACCCCGTCTCGTCTCCAGGCTTTTATTTTACTGTTCTGTTTAAAACATTCGGTTATGAAAAGGTACAAATACGAACTTTTCACCTGGAAAAACTTATTTAAGGTTCACAATCAGACCTTAAAACCACTGTTGTACCTTTGAGGGAACATTTACACTGTTTGTACCTTGATGAACAAAAAATGAACCTGAACAGAACCTTTATTTCTAACAGTGTAGACTGGAAGTAAGTCTGATACTATTTGGCGAGCAGCAGATACTATGTAGTGAGAACAGGGTGTATTTTTTATTCTATCTGTCGTTCTATAGGATCTGCTCATCACATAGTAACTGGTGCGCACCTGATAGTAATATGAACATGGTGTATTTTTATTCTATCTGTGATTCTATAGTACCTGCTCACCACACAGTAACTGGTGCTCACCTGATGGTAATATGAACATGGTGTATTTTATTCTATCTGTGATTCTATAGTACCTGCTCACCACATAGTAACTGGTGCGCACCTGATAGTAATATGAACATGGTGTATTTTTATTCTATCTGGTGTTCTACAGTATCTGCTCACCACATAGTAAGTGGTGCGCACCTGATAGTAATATGAACATGGTGTATTTTTATTCTATCTGGTGTTCTACAGTATCTGCTCACCACATAGTAACTGGTGCGCACCTGATAGTAATATGAACATAGTGTATTTTTATTCTATCTATGATTCTACAGTACCTGCTTACCACATAGTAACTTGTGCGCACCTGATGGTAATATGAAACATGGTGTATTTTTTTATTCTATCTGGCGTTCTACAGTACCTGCTCACCACATAGTAACTTGTGCACACCTGATAGTAATATGAACATGGTGTCTCTGATTCTATAGTACCTGCTAACCTGATAGTATCTGGTGAGCACCAGATTTTTATCTAAAAAAAAGTACACCACATTATTTCTGTAAAATTCTTTATGCACAAATTTAATTGTTCAAAATGAACTATATATTTTCAAAAAAGACCCTGAAATCTATCTGCACTCCATAAATCGATCAAAAAAATAGCGATCAATACACATATCAATCAAAAATAGTCATTTTGTAACTCTTTTGTCCTGATCAATGAGGCATATTTGAAAAAAAAACAGCTCTGAACTCCAGCCCAACTTCACCTGGATTTAGTACGAGCTGTCAGCCAATCCTAACGCGTACCTATGACTTTCCCAGCCAATCGTAGCGCGAGGGGCGGCGCTTGTCGGAAAGCGGGTGGAGAAAAGACCCGGGCTTGTTTTGCGTATCATGTGACAAAAGGAGGCGGAGTTTAGCGCAGGTTAAACACGACGCCAGGTAGAGAAGTAAAGAAGGGTGAAGCGTCGAGTTTCTCAGCAGCGAACAACAAAACGGTAAAGGTCCCCCAGGAGCAGCTCCTACCCTCCTCCTCCTCCTTCTGCTCCTCCTCTTCTCCTCACTACGATGCCTCGGAGCAGCTTCCCTCACTGACACTGACCGAGAACTTGTTACTTTCCCGAACGCAGACGCGATGATGATGAACTCGGACGGCCTGCGGCCGGTGCCCAACTCCGGGCGCAAAGCGCTGGGCAAACTGGCCACCCGGCTGGAGGAGGTGAAGAACCCCTGGAGGCAGGTTTCTGCCCTGGAGCTGAGCCACAACGAGGCGGCCAGACTGGCCACGGACGCCCTGCTGGAGGCCGGCGAGAAGGAGTACCGGCGCGTGCTGGCGGAGGAGAGGGAGCTGAACTTTCTGTCGTCGCTGGAGATTCGCTACATCACCGAGAGCGCGGCCAAAAGCGCCCGGCCTGAAAACGGGTGCAACGGAGCCGAGCGGGACTGCGGGGAGGGCGACGCCGTGTCCGAGCTCACCTCCGGGACTTACTTCCCCATGATGTCCGACGAAGAGCCGCCGCTGCTGGAGCTCGGCTGGCCGGAGGTGCCCAACCGCTACGGCCCCTCAGAGACGCAGATATACTTCCAGAGAGACAAAACCCAAAACCTGAAAGATCTGATTCGATCACTTATCAATAAGGCTAAGAAGGTAAGAACAGAAGTGTGACTAGGAGCTGACTGGATATGCACAGGAAGCTTGATTCCCTTCAGCCTTAAGCCAAGTTCGCTATTCCACCTGACAAAGTAGACTTCTTACTCGAATTTTCCGTTCCACCTTAAATGGTGCGGCAGGTACTTTCTTGCGAGTTGGAGTTTTATTCACCAGTTGCTGGATTAAATTTTCTGTCCCACCTTAAATGGTGCAGCATGTGCATGTTGGCGAGCTGGCTTCTTGCTCACCAGCTTCTAATAGGAATTTGCCGTTCCACCTTAAATGGTGCAGCAAGCAGGCACATTCTGGCCAGTTCAGTTCTTATTTACTTTTTATCTGAATTTGCCGTTCCACCTTAAATGGTGCAGCAGGCATAATCTCGCGAGTTGGCTTCTTGTTCACCAGCTTCTTATATGAATTTTCCGTTCCACCTTAAATGGTGCAGCAGGCAACTTCTGGCGAGTTCGCTTCTTATTTACTATCTTCTTATATGAATTTTCCGTTCCACCTTAAATAGTGCTGCAGGTACATTCTCGCGAATTGGCTTCTTATTACATTCTAGAGGCGGCAGAATGGAGCTGCTGCGCCATTTAAGGTGGAACGGACAGTTCGAATAAGAAGCTGGCGAACAGGAAACTAACTTAAGTCTTGTCATCATCTGAGTGTTTCCTTATCATCTAAGCTAAATTGCGTCATCACTGTCATTATTAAACCTGATAATTATTTACCCTCCTCTTAAACCGTGAACTGACCAGCCAACGTTTATCTTTATGAGGTAAAAGGCCCCTAAAACAGCCTTTAAAAACCAAAAACAGAAGATTAAACCTTTTAATTTAATAAGACTGCGCTGTATTGGGTCCAGTCAAATCTCCTTTTCACGTGAAGTGGGTCACAGTATTGTGACAACAGCCTCATTGTTTTGGGAACCGCTTACTACACTACAACCTTCCCCTCTCTCTCCTGACACTGTTTTCACACCAGCATAATTTTAATAATAGAAACAAATTCTCTACTGCTTTAAGTAGCAGCTGTTCTGAGCATATCATGGACATTGTTAGTATTTAGATTCATGCCAGTTTTACTTGCTTCTTTAAACATTGTTAAAGTTTCAGAACATGTGGACAGTGAGCTGCGAAAACAGCCCAAGAAACCACTGCCTTTAAAAGGTTCTTGAACTCTTAATGGTTCTTAAAAGAGCCTTAATGTCAGTGAGGAATGAGTGAGTAGTGCTAAACTGACCCCTTTATATCCAGACTGTCAAAACCAGTTTCTGTAGCATTTTTAAACATTGGTAAAGGTTTAAAACACTGTCCAGTCCATACGTGGACACCGAGCTGTGAACACAGCCACTGTTTTTGTGATGTCACAAAAACAAACACGTTTACATGTTGCCCATTCAGCTTACAGCAGTTTAGCCCCATCGCTTTACGCTGAAGTTAGACGTTTCATCTGGACTGTTTTTTTGAATGAAACGGTCAGTCAGAATAGAGCTCATTTACATATGCCGTTCTTAAAGGGACGGTAACAAAAAAACTGATTGTTTAATTATAAGGCCTAAAGAGAGGTTGGGAAAAAATGATGTGCATAAAACTACACAAACAGCATAATTGATCCTCACAGGGAGATAAAAAAGAAAATACAAGAAAAATGCAGGATATGGGCCCTTTAAAGAACACTGACCAACTTTGCAGTTCATTATAAAGAGAGCGCAGTTCGTCCTGTTTAAGTGGATTTACTGTAGTGCAGTATGTAAAATATATTTAACCAAAAATCACTGTACTTATAGTTTTCGATTAATGTTTTAACACACATAACTGCTGGTGCATTCCAGGTTATAAACCTCCAGAAAAATTTAAAATCGCACTAGGAAAAAGTCCCATATTTACAGTCACAGTCTATAACCTAGTTTATCTAATCAGACCTTCATTAAATTAAATCAGATGCTGCTGATGGAACTGAACAAATCCATGAAATGTCTTAAGTGCAGCGAAGTCAGGATCCAAACCTGAGCTCTTCTAACTGTGTTTTTCTCACCAACATATTCATAACTTTATTGAAAACAACACAAACATGTTATGTTTTACTGTATTTATATTTATTTGTATTTATTCTAACAATATATTGGCAAAAACACACTTTTAACCCATTTCCTATGTTTTTCTTATATTCATATTTTCCCCCTGAGGTCCTTTTGTAACAAATGTGTGGATTTATGTACCAAAAACAGTCATAATCCATTTTTACATGACTTCCAACCTCTCTTCATACCTTAAACTGAGTGTTTTTGTTACTGTGCCTTTAAGACTGAGCTCTGCTCTGATTGGCTGCCCTGCATTGTGACTCATTCAAAAGCATTTCAGGCTGAAACACTCCTTATAACTTAAGCATGTGATGGCGGGGCTCCACCAGAATTCCACCAGTTTTTCTAAATGTCTGCATAATTCAGTGGTTGAAATGTAAACAAAGTCATTCAGAGTGGTTTTGATGCGAAATAGTTGATTTGTAGAGAAACTTACTGACTCTGATTGAATTACAGTGGTGGTGATAGGAACCAGGGGTCCTGATGACTGCAACACAAATATAGCCATTTACCAAAACCACTATCCAAAACCACCAACGTACACAAGTCTTCTGAGGTTCTTATATGCAATGTTGATGGTAAATCTGGAAAAAAAAGTTTTCTTTGGGGACTGTTTTGCCTTAGAACAGCCTCAATGTATCCCTCCACCATAAACAGATTACAATAAAATGATTAAAACACATTTTAGACCAAAACTTATCTCAAAACTACTGTAAAACAGTGTCTCCGACATCAGGCAGTGAATTCATAGTTGTTTCATGTAGTAACTTTCCGTGAGAGAGATTTTAGAGGTGGACGTCTGGTTCCTATCACCACCACTGTAAACAGTTCTGACTCGGTAAGTTTCTCTAGAACAGAGCGTTTCACACCAAACCACTCTGAATGACTCTGTTTACATGTTAACCATTTAATCATGCTGACTTTTTGAAAAATCAGTGGAGTTCCCCTTTTATGACATCACAAAAAACGATGAATTTAAAACAGGCTGTTTTTGTAGCTTATTTTCCATAAATGAACTGAGGAGTGAATGGGATGTTTTGAAACAATGTTTACATGCCAAATCAAACTCCTGTAGTTTAAAAAAGTGAGAAGTTCCGTTTTTCATGATATGGACCCTTTAAACAAGTTTCATGACCTGGATTTTATATTTGTATCTAATTTAACAAGTGGACAAAAATTCAATATGTTCATACTTGCAGCATATTTACCAGTGGTTATTTTACAGCAGTACTGTGTGCCCAGAGGTTCTTCAAAAAAACCTGAAGGCTCTTGGAGAAGCCTCATCTTTTATTTAAGGTTCTTGAAGGAAACCATGGTCTTTAAAAGGTTCTTGAACCATTAGGCTACGTTCACATTACCAGGCTGAAGTGGCACAAATCCGATTTTTTGCCCTAATGTGACTCAGATCTGATGTTTTCAGAGCTGTGTGGACACAAATCTGATCTTTTCAAATCCAACCTGAGTAACTTTCATATGTGGTCCTAGATCGGATACGTATCCAATCCGTGGCCGTGTGACCTCAATGTGAAGCTCAGATCAGAATTCATGTGTTTTTTTTCCACTGCTCCATCATTCAGCGTTACCATGGCAGCAGAGCCCAACAGAAGTTAAAGCCTGTAAAGGTGGAAAAGCAGCTCATCTCACCTTTTTCTCCTTCGTCTCGCTCTAATAATGAAGCTGAGAGCTGATCAGAGTTAATGATCTTCTCAGCGAAGCTCGTTCTGCTCGTTAGTTTGTGCTGATGATGAACGTGATTCATTCACGCGACGTTACTGAATAGGATGAGCTCATGAGGGTCATTTCAGGACGCCGGTTCACATCAATGACCGATTTGAGTCACTTACCTAAACGAGTGTGAACCATCGAGTCAGAGAGATCGGATTTGAGCAAAAAATCGGTTTTGAGCAACGAGGCTTGTAATGTGAACGTAGCTTTAATGGTTCTTAAAAGAGCCTTAATTTCAAGGATGATTGAGTGAGTAGTGCTAAACTACAACTGACCCCTTCATATCCAAATGAGCCAGACTGTCAAAAACCAGTTTCTGTAGCTCTTACGGCACTTTATCTCACGGTTTCTCTCTCTGTGTGCAGGTTATCGCCCTGGTCATGGACGTATTCACAGATGTGGACTTGTTCTGTGACTTAATTGAGGCCTCCAACAAGCGCAGGGTTCCAGTGTACATTCTACTGGATGAGAAGAATCTCAGCTATTTCGTTGACATGTGCACAGCACTGGACATCCAGAACTCACACCTGAATGTAAGTCAAGGCTGATGAAGCTGTAGGGATTTTAACCTTTAACATCAATTAACTTCAAAATCACAAATGCTCCTAAAGGGGAGAACTACCAGTTTTTCAAAATTCCTGCATAATTAAGTGGTTAAGATGTAAACGGAGTCATTCAGAGTGGTTTGGTGTGAAATACTTAATTCTAGAGAAACTTACAGAGTTAGAATTGTTCACAGTGGTAGTGATAGGAACCAGACGTCCACCTCTAAAAGCTCCCTCACAGAGACATGAATACACTGCCTGGTGTCTGAGATGTTGCTTTAACATACTTTTAATAAGGTTTTGGCCTAAAACATGTATCTTAAATGTGTTTTTATGCTGGAGATGTACATGCAGGGTGTTGTTAGGCAGTGTGATCTCCAAATAAAGCATACGTTTTTCAGATTTTATCATCATCAACCCTCCATATAAAACCTCAGAAGACAGGAGTAGGTTCTCTGGTGGTTTTGGATAGTAAATAAAATGGCTATATTTGTGTTGTAGTCATGGCGACCCCTGGTTCCTGTCATTACAATGCTAAATTAAATATCTGTAAACCTGTAAATCATCAAACCACTTTGAATGAATTTGCATCTCAACCACTGAATTATGCAGATATTTTGGTGGAATTCCCCTTTAAGCAGATCTTCCCCAGAGCCTCTTATTCAGATGGTGTTAAACACATTAAATGTCCAGTACAGAAACGGTGCACAAGGGCCAGTTTTATCAGAAACATCTGTTTTCATCTCTCATGAATCTCTTTTTGCCAAATTATGTGCATCGAAATCTGTTATAGAAAGTAAATTGTGTTATGTTATGTTGTGTCACCCCTGCTTTACATGCTTGGACCCTCTTTTGTGGTTATAAAGCACACATATGCATAAATACAAAGCTGTTTTTTATTTAAATTACATTTTTCAGAATATGCGGATACGAAGTGTATGTGGAGATACTTACTGCACCAAAAGTGGAAAGAAATTTACTGGCCAAGTTCAGGAGAAATTCATGATCATCGACTGTGAGGAGGTCATAGCTGGATCATACAGGTCAGAACCTCATGCTCAACTTAAGTTCATTTTGAATGAAATGTGTTTTGAATTCCTTATCAAAATGCAGCACACACAACTCTGACTGGGTCGAAAATGTTTTAAACAAATGGTATCTTCCTTTAAATTACAAATCTAAAGTCAGTGTGTCTTAAAGCAGAAATGATGTGGAAGTTGGTATGTATAAAAACATATAATAAACACAGCCAATCAGCAGTCTAGCTGCGGAACAAGTATGTTTATTGGCTCACAGCTGATAAAACTGACTGCTGAGGTATTAAAGTTTGATATTAAATGACACAAAATATTTAATATCGTTTAATTGAAGTAATTCAGTCAGTACTATATATAGTGGATTTTCAGTACCCAGCCATAGGGAATCCTGAACCATACCTTTCCTACATTACAGACAAAAAAGTGGGTGTGGCTTAAACCAGAAATGAGTGTGAGGGGCTCTAAGTGGGTGTGTTTACTGACTGCAGCGGATTAAAGGACAAATCACGAAGCGCTAATGTTAATAATGTGTACAAAACAGGGCTGGGCAATACAACGATATTTTATCATATTGTGATAAAATAACATAAAACATAGCACAATTCCACCTTTTATTAGGCAGTCGAGCTCAACACACACGTGTATTTATCTTTTTGATTTATATAATTACGTCATGTAAATTCAAATTAATACATACTCCGAATTCTTATTTATTTATTTATTTATTTCCTCCTCCCTATAAATGATTATAATCAAACTCTTTAGTATATAAAATTGCTAGATTTGTGCTGTAGACCTGGCGACCCCTGGTTCCCATCATTATAATGGTAAATTAAATGTCTGTAAATTGTCTACAGTAAATCATTTCACTTCAAACCAATTTCTTTGTTCGCATCTCAGCCACTATATTATGAAGAAATTCTAAACGTTTGTAACTAGAACACTGTTTAGGGAGTACAGAGCTGTTTGGGTCTGGGTTTGACCAGACTTCTGACTGAAACACAGACGTTTGAAGTGTGTAAAACATTCAAGTGACACTTTTAGACTTTTATTCTGCCGTTTTACAGTGAATCATACCGTAAGTACTTTAATTCAAACCTGTAATATTAATGATGGAGCTGTTTAAGCAAAAATGGGTTCTTATTTCATCAATACACTCGGTGGTCCATGCGAGCAGCATTAGAGTCAAAGATTATTCCTTTAACAGAACAAGCGTTTTTCATGCCGTAGCGTAGTGATACACAGTTCAGTCCCTGTGAGGCGGTCATAGCTGTGCGTATATTGTGGGTTTTACAGCGGCTTCAAACACGGCTCAGCCAATCACATTTTAGGACTGGAACTATTTTTATAATTGGAGTGAGAGCAGCGCAGGTTGTGAAATGTCGAATAAAAATAATTGTATTGAAGATTTTTGACAGTTATCTCTAAGTGGGACACTGCTGGTTCTTCTTTTGTCTGTTCCAACTAATTAAACCTCAGTAAAAAAAAAAAAAAGTATCGTGTATTGTGAAAATATCAAGTATCGTGATATTGTATTTTTGGCAAATCGCCCACCCCTAATGTGGAATGTAATTTAGACAGCCACTCGGGAGTCCAGATTTTGGGACAGTCATGCTTATTAGTTCACTGGTGCTGATAAGACTGTCTGCTTTAAGTATTGAAAATTGGCTCTATATATGATTATGTATTTGAATACTCAGTAGTACTGAAGTAATTGACTTAATGCTGTAAACAGTATTGAGTTTTGATACCCAGCTCTACTCATAACACCTGTTCTTGTCACAAACAGTATTCAAATGACTGCCAGCAAGCTGTCAGCAAAGTCAGGCAGTATATTTACCAGTTGAACCAACGCAGGTTGAAACAGGCTTTCCAGAGAGTTAATGCTGTAGAGTTACTGTGCTAAGCCTGTCATTCAGTATCTGATGTAGCAGAGCACGCTATACAAACTCAAAATAGCTATGAAAAAAATGTTCTGGTCCTGTGAGCATCGTCTGAGATGCCGATCTAGATCTAAGATCTTGGTGCTGATCTGTCACGGTGCTTTCAAAATCTTTGTTTGGTTCATGTCACTCGGTTTTAAGTTTCAGCTTCCTGCTCTGGCTGCCAGTGTTTCAGCCGGTTTCAGGAAGCCTCTGTGAGGAGATGAAAGGGTGTGAGCTGAACTTCACTTCAGCCCAACAAGCATCTGGGGATTTTAGCAGCTTAGTGATGAAAGGATGATGATTCGGCAACTCTTGGGCCCAGCATGAGCTTCCTTAGCGTTAGCCTCTGGCCTGTGCTGTCATAACAGCCCACTGTGGTCTTACTGCAAAGTGTATGAGCTTTATAAGTTTTCTGCAGCTTCCGTTGCCGTTTCTCGCTGTGTTTTTATGAGACCGAAGGTAAAACATGCCCAGGGTCCTTCACTTAGTGAAGCTAGGTTGTGTGGCAGCTGTTAGTTACTCACCAGCTTGTTATTATTGTTTATATTTTCCGTTCCACCTTAAATAGTGCAGCAGTTCTATTCTGGCACCTCTAGAATGTGATAAGAGTCTGGTGAAAAAGAAGAAACTCTCCAAAATGTAACTGCAGCACCGTTTAAGTGGTTTATTTAAGACAATTTGAATTATAACCCCAGTTATAAAAAGACGTCGTCTGGATGGCAGCATATGTTGCCAAAACATGTATGTATCATTCAGCATTAATGGTGCCTTCACAGATGTGCACGTCACCCATGCCATGTGCACTAATGCCCCCCTTTACCATCATGAATACTGGCTTTTGAACTGTGCACTGATAACAAGCTGAGTGGTCTTTAGCTCAGAGGACACAGTGTCCATGATTCCCAAAAAGAATTTCAAATGTTGATTCATCAGACTACAGGACACTTTTCCGCTTCCCCTCAGTCCATTTGAAATGAGCTCAGGCCCAGAGAAGGTGGCAGCATTTCTGGATCCTGTTTATATTTGGTTTCTTCTTTGCGTTTTAGAGTTTTAACTTGCATTTGTGGATGCAGTGATGAGCTGTTTTCACAGACAGTGGTTTTCAGAAGTGTTTCTGAGCCCATGCAGTGATTTCCACTACAGAATCATATCTGTTTTTAATGCAGTGCTGCCTGAGGGCCCAAAGATCACGGCCAGCTAATACTGGTTTTTGGCCTTGACCCTTACATACAGAGATTTCTCTGGATTGTCTTAATCTTTTAATGATGTGCTGTAAATGATAAAATCTCCAAGTTCTTTGCTGTTTTATGTTGAGAAACCTTATTCTTGAATTGTTGCTGTCTTTCACAGAGTGGTGAACTCCTGTCCATCTTTACTTCTCACTTTCAACATTTAATTTGTTGTCTTTGTGCTATTTTCAATTAAATATAAGGTTTAAATGATTTGCACGTCATTGCATTTTGTTATATTTACATTTTGCACAGTGTCCCAACTTTTTTGGAAATGGGGTTGTAGAAGTCAACTCTCCAGAATGTAACTGCGGCACCATTTAAGGTGGAACAGACTATTTGAATTAGAATCCAACTTTCCGGAATATAACTGCTGCAGTATTTAAGGTGGAACGGACAGTTCAAATTAGATGCCAACTCTCTAGAATGTAACTGCAGCTCCATTTAAGGTGGACTGAATAATTTGAATTAGAAGCCAACTCCCCAGAATGTAACTGCAGCACCATTTAAGGTGGAGTGAATAATTTGAATTAGAAGCCAACTCTCCAGAATGTAACTGCTGCACTATTTAAGGTGGAACGGACAGTTCAAATTAGATGCCAACTCTCTAGAATGCAACTGCTGCACTGTTTAAGGTGGAATGGATATTTCAAATAATTAGCTGGCAAATAAGAAGCTAACTTTCCAGAATGTTACTGTGGCACCACTTGAGGTAGAACAGGAAATTCACATAGCAGGCTGGCTTCAGCCTCGTGATTTAGCTGATGTGTTTAGTGTTAGAGTGTGGTACTGGCCTGGTGCTCAGGGTTTAGTTAGTGGGTGAGCACAGGACGAGTGTACATAGTGGGTGAGGCTTGTTCCAAAGTGTAAAAGGCTTTGTCCTGCCATATCCAGTATAGATCATTATTTACCTGAGCTGCGTAGAGTTAGAAAGGAAATCAGGAGCACTTAGTGCCTCCCAACTATTGAGAAATATATTTGTATATTTGTAAGTCATGTTTCCTCATTTCTCATAAAGGCACTGACTTCCTTTCAAAACAGACAGAACATGTTTCTTATGTAACATGTTTATCTTATCTTTTATTGTAAGTACACGCTCATAAAGAGCCGGCCCTAATGTCACCACTCACCTATAAACACCTTCACATACCATCTAGAACGACTTTAAATAGTAATTGTAAGCAGTATTCTCATTAATTCCTCAAATTCAGTTCAAAAAGTTTGGAATTCCTATTTTCAGTAGTATAAAATCAATTTTTTACAATTTTATACATAAAATGATTCCAATACACTGTTAGAAATAAAGGTTCTGTGCAGGTACATTTTTCGTTCATCAAGTTACAAACAATTTAAAAGTACCTCAAAGCTACAACAGTGGTTTTAAGGTCTGATTGTGTACCTTAAATAAGTTTTTCCAGGTGAAAAGTTCGCATTTGTACCTTTTCATAACCGAATGTTTTAAAACAGAACAGTAAAATAAAAGCCTGGAGACGAGACGGGGTGTGTGGAGTCAGTACAAAAAACCATAAGAAATAACATTTTACACACATTTGTTTTGGATGATATTAAGGTCACTATAATATGCAATTTTATGATCTTCAACAAACGTCCCTCTGCTTTAGGTCCCAGACCTAACATCACTACACCTGTAGTAGCACAAGAACCACTGACAGTTCACATGAAATGGGGGGGGCATAATTCCCACCAGAACTTTGATATTTCCCGGAGGTTTAAATTGGGGTCAAATTGACCCCAAAGATAAAATATATTGGTAAATTTGAGGATAACAGGAGGGTTAATTGAGGAAAAAATGACCTTTGGTAACACTTTACTGTAGGGTGCTGTTCATAAGGCTACATGACACCTACATACGTTTGTCATGACAACTGACATAATCATTTATAAATGTTTATAAATGCTTATTCCAATAGGTGTCATTTTCCATAAAAGTTACATTTACCATTTTTGAACAAAGTTAAGCCTTTATGACAGATAATGCCTATTTGAATAAGTATTTATAAACAGTTATGTAGGGTTATGTCAGTTGTCATGACAGTCTTATGTGGGTGTCATGTAGCCTTATGAACAGCACCCTCCAGTAAAGTGTTACCTGACCTTTTATTGGGCTTTTAAGTCACACTGCATTGTTCAGAAGCTGCATGGTCAGTTGAAACTGCGTATTGTTCTGATGTTTTTTAAAACGCTTTCTGCCCACATCATATTGTTAAGTTCTTCTTTTTGTGTTCCTCCTCTAGTTTTACCTGGCTGTCCGCTCAGGTGCACAGCAACATGATTTTGCACTTCTCTGGCCGCATCGCCGACAGCTTTGACCGGGAATTCCGTTGCCTCTACGCCGACTCCCAGATCATTGATTGCTTCCATAACCCTGATGAGGAGGGCCTTCCCTATTACTCTTACAGCATGCAGATGCCCACTATGGACTTCTTCCCAGACAGAGGGAGCAGGGAAAGGGACAGGGAAAGGGTGTGCTCCGAGAACTCCAGCAGCCAGTCCAGCAACAGCGTGTCCAGCATCAAAGCTGCTCCAGGCATGACGCCTCAAGTCTACAAGGTGACCCAGGACAAGAAGGACACAAGCGTGCTGAAGAGTCCAGAGAGGAGAGGGGTTGTAAGTCCGGGGCTTCAAGGAAACCATGTTGGCAGGAGATCGCCCAACGACACCCTGCAGAGTCCTCCAACGGAACGTCCAGCGTCGAGCGGTCTTTCGTCGGGGGTGGAATGGGCCAAAGCAGGAACGCCAGAGTTCCTCAGGGCAAACCTCGCTGGACCAACATCCAAATTCCAAGCTATGGGTCTCTATGACCACAAGAACTTCTTCCACAAAGCTCCTCCGATTCCTCAGCCGCCCGTGGAAAACAAACACCCCCCCAAAGTGCGCAGTCCCACGAATCCCCTTTTCAATAAATTTGCAGACATGTTCTTGTCATCCACCAAAGACAAGGACTCTCACATTTTCCAGAGGTCTCCTCCCCACAGTACAGCCTACGGTGGTCCAGATCTCTCGCAGAACGAGCCAGAGAGCATGCAGGGTCCCCCTCCACCGGGACCTTTGCCAAAGGACCGAACGGGTCAGGACACTTGGATCAACCGCAGGGACGAGAAACGCATGACCCTGGGACACAGCAAACTGGACCTGGTTAATCACTACAACAAGATGAAGTCGAAGCAGGTGTACAGCCGCTTTGAACTGAAGAACAACAATTGACCTCGATAACGTGAAAGACGTTACTGCATTGACGTTCGCTTTTTCTTTCCACACCTTTAGCGGTATGGCGTCTTTTTGTTTCTGTGAATGGACCGAAGTTGTGGTGGAATGTGTTTTTTGTGCCTTTTGTTTTCTAACAGACAATAAAGAATAGAAAAGAACAAGGCGACCTGCAAACCTTGACATGTTGCAGAAAAGGTGGCTTCTTTTTCCCAGTTTTTCCAGTGTTTACTACTCATGAAGTTAGTACTGTATGTTTTATTGCAGTACACATCACTTTACTTTCTGGTAACATTTTATCTGAAGTGGTCCTTTGTAGATGATTAATAACTCTTAACAGATTATCAGTAACACATTAACAACATATCAGTGAAGTAGCCATAGTGAATCATCTGAATACATTGAGGTAAATATCTTGTAGATGTTTTATTGATATGAATCAATTCGACTTTATATGTTACTTCCATTACACAAAACCTGACCTCACACAACTTTACCTAAAACTTAACCCTAATTCTGGCCCTAATCCTAACCCTAACCTCAATCTAAAACCTAATCCTAACCCTCAGCTCAATCTAAAATCTAATCACCCTCACCCTGGCACTTATCCTAATCCTAACATTAACCTCAACCCAAAACCTACTCCTCACCCAGGCCCTTATCCTAACCTTAACCTCAACCCAAAACCTAATCCTAACCCTCACCCTGGCACTTATCCTAATCCTAACCTTAACCTCAAACCAAAACCTAATCCTAACCCTCACTCTCACCCTAATCCTAACCCTAACCTTAACCTCAACCCAAAACCTAATCCTAACCCTCGCCCTGGCCCTAACCCTAACCTTAACCTCAACCCAAAACCTAATCCTAACCCTCGCCCTGGCCCTGGCCCTAACCCTAACCTTAACCTCAACCCAAAACCTAATCCTAACCCTGAGGAGGTTGATGGTCTGTATTAAACCTGTTAATGTTCAGTTCCTCTCAGTTAAACATCCACAGATCTGAACTTGGACTCCAAATACAGTGAAAAACAGCTGAATTCAGATTATAAACACATTTTATTATGGCAGTTAATTAAAAGTCTCTTGATAATCTACTGAATGTTTTCACTGCTGCTACATCACTGATATGTTGTTGATGTTACTGAGAGTCAGTTGAGTGTTCATTTCATCTAAAAAGGACACTCAAAATAAAGAGTCACCCATTTTCTTAAAGTTAAGGTGTTGTTTTTACACCTTACGCCAGCACCTTATATTTCTTGTGGCAAATAGATGGAATGAACCTCCTGTGTGGAGTCGTTCTGTCGGCTGCTGAGTATTATATGTAGCTTTAGGGGACGTTCAGACGATGCCTGTTTAAACCTGAAGCACACAGTGTCTTTTTAAGTGGTGAGTTAACGCGTTTGATTAAAACATTTAGAAACTTTTCACATTCAATTTTGTGTTAATCTGAGTCTTGTTCAGTTCTGGTTGCTTGAAAGCAGCCAAAATTTCACTTTTCCTCCTTTGGTGACCAGAAAGAAGGAGCCCATCATATTGACTGGTCAGCTGTGAAGGTGTGTGCTGCTTTTTCTGGGTGCTCAGTGGAAAAGTTGAGTTTTTAAAGTTTTTCCTACTTAAATGTGCGGTTTAAAAGCGCTAGATGAGCACTTTTACACATCGACCTCAAAAGAAGCGTTTAAGTGTGTTTGAAAAGGCCTCGACTGAACGCCCCCTAATTTGGGACCTTTTTTTATTCCCAAGTTTGCATTTTTCCAGAGGTGCATTTGTATTTATACTAGAAATACTGTGATCTTCGTATCTCTTTAAGACTCTATAGTCACCCAAAGATACACGTGATGAACTGCTACAGTATGTGCAAAAATCATAGACCACCCTCATTATTTACCACTCAGAGGGTTCATTAAGTGTTCATGTATTTAAATGTGATGTATTTATTTCATTCTCCATTACACTCTCAGAAATAAAGGTACTAAACTGTCACTGGGTCAGTGCCCCTCTTGTGACTGGGGTGGAACCCTCAAGTGTTCATGTACCTTCAGTCAGGGAACATAACTGAACCATAATCCACTGAAATGATATGTTCTAAGCTGTACTGACTCCACACACCCCGTCTCGTCTCCAGGCTTTTATTTTACTGTTCTGTTTAAAACATTCGGTTATGAAAAGGTACAAATACGAACTTTTCACCTGGAGAAACTTATTTAAGGTTCACAATCAGACCTTAAAACCACTGTTGGAGCTTTGAGGGAACATTTACACTGTTTGTACCTTGATGAACGAAATATGGACCTGAACAGAACCTTTATTTCTAACAGTGTAGTTAAAAGCTGAATTGAGCAGAAGACGGTTTATAACATGCAGTACAGTGTCAGTTACGTACAACCAAAGTTTAAATGTAAATATAAAAACTGGACAAACTAAGATATCAAAGGACAAAAAAGATTAATTCAGTGAAGGTGATCCAGCTATAATACACAATCATAAATATGCATAATTGATTAGCCAATGTTCTGTTTCTCAGTCGGTTAGTTCAAGTTATTTATTTTCAAGTTATTCATTTTTCAGCATATTTGTGAGGAAATTAGGTAGAAGATAATCCACTTGTATAAGGAAGAAGAAAGCCAAAGAAAAATAAATGGAAAAAACAGGAGTTTCCAAAAACTGATTAAAAGCTCCAGAGAAAATGGGTCTCCTAACAACCACCTGGAAGACCTGGTCGACCCCAAAACTGCCCCCATCAGATAAACAGCACTTAAAGCTTTCATCTTTGAGAGAGAGGAGAAAAGTTTTCTCCTCTCCCAAAAGTTGAGGCTTCTGTGTAATTCTTAGTCGATTTCTGATGCTAAATCTTACTTAATGGCTGTTTTCACTGGAAATCAAATGAAGGGGGGGTCTCTGACTTTTGCACAGCTCTGTGTATTGGTATGTTTATGGTGTCTAAATGACAATGTGAGTTTTTTTTTTCCTCTCTCTTTAATCTCCAAACCGCCAAATGTATATTTGTATAAAGCAATTTAACATGTTTCACTGTTGATTCATAATTGGCTCCGCCCACCTGATACTATTGAACTAGAATTCAATATTTGTTCTGTTCACCACTCATGATTTCATGTGCATCCTGATTGAGCTTGGAGACAGATAAGAGCTCAGAACCAGTCTGATGTGTTCTCTGACGGTGCGCCTACGCTGGAAATACCATAAATGAGTCAGCAGGAAACGTCACTTTGCGTTGTTGTACTTGGCCCTTGTCTCGGAAAAATTACCAGATTATTGATTAAGTGAAACAATATCGAACCTCTGTGACGACTGGTCAGATTTTTAATTCTTAATTTTTTTTCATAACTGCAAATATATGGCAGCTCATTCCTGTCATGTAGAGGAGAACATGTGCTTATTGTTCCTCTTTCTCTGTTTCTGGAAGCTGTATGTAAAAACTGGACTTTATTTCTCAAAATAGTGGATTTTTTTATGTTTACTTAGTAACTTATGATGGGAAATTGTTATTTTTCTCAAAATTTCGACTTACTATGTTGAAATAATGAGTTATGTGTTGGAAGTTTTGACTTTTTAGACAAAATGGTATACTATGTAGAAATAAAACATTTTACAACTAAAAAAATGTAATTAGTTTTAGATTCAAAGTTAAAATGTTGAGATTAAAATGTGCCTTAAAAAGTCATCTTTTGAGAGACACTAAGTCAGAATGTGTACATACTACTGCCAGAAACAGAGGAGGAAAAAATAGGCAATTTTATTGATTTTTATTGATATATTTTTTCTACCTGGTGGAAATGGGCTTCCTTACCAAAAGCCTTAAGCCCTGTTGGAGCTGGATTAGTTTAATCTGCTGTAATTGAAATGATTGATGATGATTACTGATGAGATCTGTGATTTTAATCCAGTATGAATCTGCGATGTCTGTAGTTTTTAGTCTGTGAAGTAACAATTAAGGAGCAAATTTCTTTCTATAATTCATCAAATTCAGAGCTCCTTCAGTAATAATAATCTTTAAATTGACAGTTATGTAATAACAACCTGGTAAAAGAGACGAGACTAACTGCTAACATGGAGCTCTTGGATCAATTCCTTTATCTTTATCTTTAAATGTCTGAATCGACCAATCAAATCCCTTTCAAATTACATTTGAAGAGCACGTTAGGCAGCCAAGGAAATTGTTTAAAATTGTTTTTTGGGCAGTTACTGTGACTTTACCTGACAAAACACAAAAGAACATTAGAACAAATACAAATAAACATAAATTTAGTAAAAGGTAAGAAGAACGTGGTTTCAAAAAAGTGGTTAGATGGTCAGAATAACAACCCTCTTTTAGTTGATGAAGGATTGATCAGATAAACTCGGTCTTGGCTGGTAGCTATAAATACTGAACTCCCTCTTGGAGAGATCTGGAAATGGATAAACACATTATCACGTTGAACAGTCACACTGTGTTGTATTAATGTTGATGTGTATCTGTTCTAGGTTAGTTATATGGAGCAGTAAATGCTGCCCAGATAAACAGCTTTCTCATGCGACTTCTGCTCATTAATATACATTCTGTAATCATTTGCAAAATTTTAAATTCATGGAATCTCATGAATATCAAATCAGGACTGGTTGAATGGTGAGTCACCAAAAGTCATTCATCTGACGATCTAAAATCCAAACAGAGAAACAGTGTATGAAAATACAAAACAAATAAACAAACAAACAAACATTCCAATAATGAACAAATATACTGTTGACAAATTTTCCTTTAGGGTCAATCCAGGATATTATTCTGTCTTATCTTACATTATTAATTGAACTTTGGCACAAACTGCAAAGAACTGCAACTTGCTGTTCTTTGTGGAGTGATCAAGCCACTTTAAAGTGGCTCAAGACGTGTGTGTATGTTTTTGTCTATGTGTCTATACCAGGGGTCGCAACCCAAACGTTAAGATGAGCCATTTTATCCCTTCAATAAAAATCAGTCCACCCTGGGAGCCACAATATTTTATGTCTATTTTACCGTCTTGGCTGTAAATGTGTCTCAGTATGTGCTGATGTACTAGTATAGGCTAAAAATATAAACTAAAACTCAGACTGACTTTGCTCTGCTTTAAGCTTTAGCTCAGCTATAGCCGCTTTTCTCGCATCTCCAGCAGGAAACCATTCCACAAAAGTAGAACAGTTTCTTGTAAAATGTCTCTCAACGT